TGCAAATGCGGAGGAGGAGCCCTGGCTGTTGTCTCTTAAGATCAAGGTCCTAATCACCGAAGCACATCAGCCTGGCCTTTGTCCTCTGACTGCCACAGGCAATCATAGCTATCTGGGGCACCCAGGTTTGACCTCCCCAGACTCAATCTGTAAATCTTTTAAGTTTTTCTGATTATTTTCCCACTTTACTCTCCCAAAATGACTCATCCTAGAATGCCCCATACTTTGTGTTATAAACCCTCTCAGCATTATCTGTGTTCTTCTTCCCTTGTTATGCACACATTGAAGCGCCTTTGGCATTCTTTGTTAAAAGTGAAATGACAAAAAAAGGAGGCAGGGAAAGAGGAGAAAAGGAACATCAATAAGAAGTAAAAATAAATCCCTCAGCTTATTCTGTCACTTGGGTTTACTGACCAAGTACATAGCAAGGAAGGGTCAAGAGAGGCCAAAAGAGACAAGAAGGAAAAGGAGACAAAAGCAGAAGGGAGAAGAGAAGAAGAAAAAAGAAGAGAAAAGGGCATGAGAGGGTGAGAAAGAAGAAAAGGAGAATGAGATGATAAGAAAGAAGCTAAGGGAAAAAAGAAAACACTAGACACATTTGCTGACTAATGCATTTTATTGCTAAAACTCTGTGATGATCTAAATGTAAATTTTCAGTCTCACATTTTAAGATTTTCTAAATTAACTTATCTAATATACACCCATGCTAAACAGTATTTTTTTTCTCTTTTTTTTTCAAAGATCTATTTATTTATGCATACAAAAGCCGGGGTACAGGCCAGAGATCTGGGGAGTGAGAGGATTTACCAGAGACAGTGGGGGACAGCACAGGCAGACTGGCCAAAATACATTGCTGAGGGGAGCAGCAGGCAAGACAGGAGAGGTCTGCTGCCATGTGGGTTGCTGCTGCCCCTGGCTGGGGATCGAACTCGTGCCACAGAGGCTGCAGACAGCCTCACAGTGCAGTGCCCAACCCCCTGCACCACCAGGGAGGCCCTAAACAGTATTATAAATTGCAATGTGACATTTTATATTTATAAATACTGACTTTTCAGAATGTATGACAATATAAAACATACTTTTAAAAAAGTCAGGAAACAGGGGCCTCCCTGGTGGCACAAGGGGATAAGACACAGCACTATGAAGCAATTCGCAGCCATTGCAGCACAAGCTCTATCCCTGGCCAGGGAGATACCCACAAGGCACAGCAGACCTCTCATGTCTCACCCACTGCTCCCCTCAGCAGTTTACTTCAGTCCATCTGCCTGTTCTGTTCCCCACCCTGTCTCTGGTGAATCCTCTGATCCCCCACACCTCTGACCTGTACCCCAGTTCTTGTATGCATAAATAAATAAATTTTTTTTTAAAAAAATCAGGAAACAGATGGCCATCCCATAATAATCAAAGAACCTCATAACTGAAAGGTCACTAAGATGAGCTCCTTCAATTTTTCCATTTTTCAGTAGAAGAAACTGAGATCAACAGAGAATAAATTCTGTTCCGGCTCACACATTCTTTCTTGGTGGAGTTTTCACTTTAACCCACAGCGACTGACTCTTAAGTCCACGTTTGTTTGTTTGTGTCATTTCACTGAATCATTCATTCAACAAATCTTTAGAGCTTGCGGTCTATGAGGCAATCACAGATAGGGGCACTAAGGGAAAATATCACGTGAAAAAAACAGTCTCTGCTCTATAGGGCAGGGAGATGACACACTGATCAGAGTTAGCTAAGGTTGTAAAAGTACAGAAGAAAGTTTAATGGGAGCAGGATTTGTTCTGGTCTTGGAGATCAGGTATGGCCTCTATAGTAGTTATTTTCAAACAAAGATCCAAAAGATAGGTATTATGCAAATAAAGCAGAAAGAAAGTGAATTCCTGAGGGAGGAAACAACACTTAGGATATTGTAACCTGATTTTTTTTTTGTGTGTGTAACTTCACTCTAGTCTATTAAGGCTGCTCTCTTTTTGTTCTGGCTGGTTACAGATTACACTTTGCTCTCTGCTTAGCAGACACTATCAACAGGTAAGACAGAGGGTGTCTGTCTCCTCCTCTCTTCGTATATAAATAAATCCTTTAAATCCTTTTTTCTTGTTTCTCCTGTATCTGTTCTCAAATTTTGTCCTGCATTCGTAAGCAACTGGGTGAGGACTCACAAACTGCTTGTTCCCATTTTCCCCCAGGTTTGCCCAGTAACCACTTAAAAATAGTCTTTTTTTTTCAGTCAATCTGCCTGTTCTGTTCCCCACTCTGTCTCTGGTGGATCCTCCCACCCTCCATGCCTCTGGCCTGTACCCCAGCTCTTGTATGCATAAGTTAATGAATATTAAAAAAAATAATAAAGTCTAAAGAGATGAAAAAGAGGAATCAAATACTTTCTTGGGGTGAAAAGCCAATATTGAGGATGAAATCCTTCGAAGTCCAGAAATTCAAAAGTCACAACTAGTTTGCCAATTTTTTTTTCTGTCAAACCAAAATTGAGAGACAGAGAAAAAAAAAATCTCACCACTTCTCTCCTCTGTACCTTGTGTGCAGATATTTGGGAGTCTGACTTGGTAAAAATTCTTTTTAGCCAGCTCTTTTCAGACATTCAGAATCTTTTTTTAATGGCAGTTTTCAAAAGCTGGGAGTTTCCAGCCTACAAAGTTTATCCTGATTTATCTTCCTACATTCCTTCCCTTTATATCCTACTTTTACATAAATACAGTCTTAATGTTTTTTAATTTTTCATAAAAATGGCTGCAATCTGTCCACAGTTGCTTTTCGTGGTTAATAAATTTGAAATTATATAATCTTCAATTGATTCTTTTCTATAGATCATGCTTTTAATTGTGAAAATGCTCTCTATAGAAGAAATTAATTCTATAAGATATTCCCAATTCTAATCTTTTTAGTAGAAATGTATATATATGTGTATTCATAAAATACAGTATACTTGAGCTCAAATATATTCACCAATTATGTGTTTTTGCCTCCATTCAGAGGAATTCTCCATGAATAATATTTTTATCTGGCTAAATTATCTCTATTTTTAATTCTTTTGACTTTTCTTTAACTGTTTTGACAAATTTGGATAGTGCAAAATTTGTGGATGTCTCAATTTTGTTCTAGTTTATGACAGAATGTCAATTTACCTAATTAAGAGTAGAATCCCTATCAGAAGTTTTTCCCTGCTAGTTGAGATTCCTCTAAGTACAGTTATAAAATTTCAAAAACAAATATCGTATATTGCAAAGCCTTGCTCAGTCTTCAATCTTCCTTGACTCTTTCAAGTATACAAATCAACCCTTGGTGTCACAGTTTGGTGTGTAAGTAATCTATAGTTGTGTAACCAATGTAACAGCTTGAAGCATCACCCATTTATTACCTTACAGTTCCCATAGGTAAGGCATCTGGGTACTTCTGGATGGAGTAATGTGCTTGAAGTCCCACCAAGTTCCAGAAGTCTGCCTGGGTGTCAGTCTCATCAGAGGGTCACTTAAGGAAATAGCCCTTTTCCAGAATGTTGACAGACTTCCTTTCCTTACCTCAAGACTGAGAACCTCACTTCTTTGCTAGCTATTCACTGGTCCCAAACTCAGCTTTGACAGGTCACCCATAGACTCTGGTCAGGTGACCCTCTCTACAGATCTTCCACAGCAAGGCAGTTTACTTTAAAGCCAGCAAGGGAGTCTCCCTAGTGTATTTTAGTGTCGGGGTACAAAGGAAATCATCTTGTACCCCGAGTTCCTCTAGGCTGGCAAATAAGCAAGCTTCAGGAATATTGATAGGAGAAAAAGTCAAAGCTAAGTTTAATAATAATGTGAATACCATTTGTATACATGGGGGAGATACAATATGACAGTAAGTCACTTGTGGCTTTTAGCTAACCTAAGACTGAAGGACTTTGGGGGAAGCATGGAAAGGAAATTGTTAGTTATGTAGATTATAAAAATAGAAAAAATAGTTTATTAAATGAAAAAAGGAAAGGGTTACTCCTGGCAACAGTTCTATTCTGCATTCCATCATACCCACTTGTTAGGAATAGTTACGGCTTTTTTTTTTTTTTTAAAGATTTATTTATTTATGCCTACAAGAACTGGGGAACAGGCCAGAGGTGTGGAGGGTGAGAGGATTCATCAGAGACAGAGTGGGGAACAGAACAGGCAGACTGACTGAAATACACTGCCAAAGGGAGCAGTGGGCAAGACAGGAGAGGTCTGCTGCACCATGTGGGTAGCTCCCTGGCTTGGGATCGAAGTTGTGCTGCAGTGGCTGCGGATAGCTTTATAGGTTACGTCTTAACCCCTTGTGCCACCAGGGAGGCCCCAGATAAGACTTTTACTTACTCCCAGGGTGTACCCAGTCACTGTACTTGTTGGGTAAGGGATGTGTCTCATTCACCACTAGCCTGTGCAGATAGGTCATCTCAAAGCCTAGATATTGCAATTTCCAGACTTTCTGGTTGGGTTTACCCATCTAACTCTCTTATTGTGACTCCTGAAAGTTCAGACCTTGTCCCAATCTATTCAGGCTGAGGAAACATCTCCCCAACCCCTCTCCCAAGGTTCTTTCTAATCCCTGGTAAGATGAGCTCCAGCAGTTTCCTTACACTAGGTCTCTCTTATCACTGAATCTGGCCCTTCTCTAGATCCGTCCTGCAGAAAAAAAATGTTTTTTATCTTTTTTAAAAAAGATTTATTTATGCATACAAGAACTGGGGTAGAGGCCCAGAGATGGGGGGGTGGGCCTGTATGTGAGAGGATTCACCAAGGACAGAGTGGGGAGCAGAACAGGCAGACGGACTAAAATACACTGCTGAGGGGAGCAGCAGGGGAGACAGGAGAGGTCTGCCCCACCAACTGGGTTGTTCCATGGCTGGCGGGGATTGAACCAGCACTGCAGAGACTGCAGACAGCCTCACAGAGCTGCACTCAACCCCCTGCACCACCAGGGAGGCCCCATCCCTGTGATGTTTTAAATCCTCCCTCCCTCCCACTTCTAATTCATCTTCCCCTACCAGTCTGAGCCCTCAGTCCTGTCTGCCCCTGACTCATTACCCAAACATCTTCCTCACTGACCCACTTAAGCTCTTGCCCCTTTTCCCCCCTTTGTGCTTCTCATATGCAGCAAGTTTTTTAGTTCTCACCTTCATGGGTACATACTCAGATTGTTCCTCTTACTTCAAAAGCAGTATTCAATTTCTCCCATAAGCAAAATGCATCAAAATTTGTCTCTTGGTGAAAGATAATACTAAGGAAATCACAACAGAAAAGCAGAGGCTCATCTACAGGGAATCCTTTGGGGTCAATGGAAGTTAAAATTCATTGGCATTAACATCCTTTGCCAGCGAGGATTTTACCATTGGGTAAAATTTTATCAGTTCTTTTGTTTTCTTTGTTTTTCCTCATTAGCTCATCTCTGAGCAGTCTCTAAGCCACAGGCTTCAGGAGATAAAGGACATGATGAATGGGAGGTCAAAGCCTTTTCCCTTGTCACATTTCTCCTTATCACAACACTGCAGACTCACCACTGGGAATTTCTGTGAGTTCTTTGAGGATCAGCCACAGCCCTAAGGTCATCTTGGGAAGCTCTTGGAGGTGGAAGATGGTCTTAAATACTGGTGAATCAGAGTGGTAGCTGTAACTATATGAAACTGCCCGTTTCCAGGGAGGAATACTGAGGAGACCACAAGGACAATGAGAAGAGCTGGGTGCCTAAGCTCACTTTATTAATTACACACAGCTTGATTCAGTTTATGAAAGTTATAAATTCACCAAAAAGCCCATTGCAGTAACAAGGTCTGAATCTAAACTTTCTTTGCCAGCTAAGGTGTTACAGGAGTTTTGGGGGTTCTGCTACTTCCACTTATATGCCAAAACTCGAGACAAGAGTTGAAAAGTCAAGTGTAATCTGGTGCCAGCAAACCTGTGGGCATGGCTGTCTACTGTTGCATAAGCCATTTCCCAACCAGGGAAGATGCGGGGACTTACATGGGGGAGTAGTAAGGAAGGAGAGGCTAAATTAGGGTCTGCATCAGCAGGATTTCAGAGAAATAGGCAAGGAGGAGGAGGTGCCGGGCAATCTAGTTGACAAGGTCCAAGGTCTCAAAAGCACCAATTAGGTCGAAGGCTATACCAGCACCAGTAAGTCTTGGAAACAGCCAGTTTGGAAAATGAACCAATCATGTTTGAAAGATGGGTACTCTGAAGGGGGATATAAGCAGAGCCTGCTTGGAAAGGCTTCAGTCAGTTGCGAGGATGAACTCAGTTTGAAGTGTCTCAGTCTCAGGGAGACCTCAGCCTGCGACTTATGCTTCAGGAGACATTGCCTCAGCAGTGCCACCTGCGACTACCCCCAGCTGCCGCAGGTTAGTGGGATCCTGTTTCACCACATACCGTTATTCCACCCATTCCAGGCTCCCTTTGGAGGGGCACCATTTTCTAAGAGCAGCTGCTCTTATTGGATGCTGTGGATACTGACTGGGTAAGAGCCAGCCAGTTGTGCTCTTAGAAACATTTTCCCTTTCCCCCAATTTCCCCTTTATTAACTCTGTTGTTTTGTACCCCAAGATTGAGCCTTATCTTGCAATTATCAGCTCCCGGGTGAGAGCTTCCAATCAGTGAGCAGATCCTCAAACCAATTTGTACCCTGGTGCTACTGGGAAGGAGACATGGAAGGAAACCCATGGAGGAGACATGTAGACACTTCTGAGATTTGTGAGACACATGGGGAGGCTGACAATAGTGGACAAAATCTCAATTTGTATTTTGATTTTGTTCCTTTATTCTGGGACTTGCCTGGCCTCTTTTGCCCCTCCTCATGGTTCTCTGTCTGAAGATGCTTAGATTTGTGGCTTCAGCAGGGCAGCTTTGGGCCAACCCCACTTGGCTGGGCATTTTCCCACCAGGGAATGGGTAATTTCCGATGCTTTTTAAAGAATATCATTTCTTTTCTTCTCTGTCTAGGCACACCAATTCTATTAAAGATCTTTCACACTAATAAGAGTATGCTTCCATTGTTCTTATGCAACCTGCTAACAGTATGAAGTTTTTTTCTTCAGATAACCGTAGTTTGAAATCTGTCGGTGGGATCCTCGTATCTGTGGAGCCCCCTCTTCTGTGTAGGCCAACTTGGGGTTCAGGCCAAGGTCAGACACATCTGAACATGCTCAGGTTGGATCACTGGCTGATAACTTCCAGGCTCTATTTGTAAAATCAAGACTCAGAGAAGTTTAGATAACTTGGCTTTTGTGCTCTAGGGTCTGAGAATAATTTAGCTGTTTAATCTCAATTCCAGCAGGAAAAAGACAATTTACTGGCTTCGCTTTAGTGCTCCTGGGTGTCTGGTTCCAGACTAGTCCAGAAATCCAGTTATATCTCTGAACTTGGGGTCCCTGAACACCAAATAATTCCCTGTTACCTTAGATAGGTTTCAATCACTTGCAACAAAAAGGCTGTTCAAACAGACTGTCTTTAAAAGAAACAATGGGTTCACTTCTTATTGAAAAAGTAATTATTTATTATGACAAAATAAAAACTGTTGACTGAAAACAAATGAATGTTACACTGTATTGCACCATGATTGCAAAAGAACCAAAACCTGTCTAAAAGATGAACATTCCAGAGCAAACAGCATCCTGTTAACTTGGGTAAGTAGGCATGCAATCAACTCATTATAACATACTTGCAGAAATAAAAAAAATTACGAGAACCAGCAACCTAAACTTATAATATATAAAAGCTTTTTGTTATAGTATAATGAAGCTATTAAAAAATTTAGAACATGTTTTTGAAACAATCCCACCACTAGAAAAACATGCTTTGAACCATTTCAAGAAGTGATATGAATACATTAAGTAATTTGTTTGCTTTTAAAATTTTCATTATTAATGCTTATCTATTGGATCAACAGCACACATTTCAGTTGGTTGGTTGGGATTAAGCAGCAGTTTGTGGCATGAAAGATATTTTTTCCCCTCTGTATAATACTAGGAGACTTACAGAGATCGAATTACAGTTTTGGCCTTATTAACACCATCTTCTATTTGACTAAGCTGTTTAGCTAAGGCATTGTTACAGTTTCTATAGAGTGTCTAAAGTTTGTATTTAAACTTAAGAAATAAACATAAATGTAAATATAGACATGAAGTAGTTTTACATTTTGAAAATATAAGTATATTATACAGGGCCTGCTGTTTCCTCTTAAATGCTCTAAAGCACCAATTAATGTTAAGATGGCAATGTGTAATTATAATCAATATATTCTGATTAGAATACATGCAAGAGCAAGAGCAAGGTTGTAACTGCTTTTCGTTTTAATTTTTTTAAGACCATGCTCTGTGCAGTAGATGAATGAAGTAAAATTCATAACTACTACATAACTGAAGAAAATTGTAATCATTATTTTCACTTTTAATGAGATAGCAGCTAAACTTTTAAAAACCAAAATGAAAAGTTTTCATAATGACACTGAGCAGTTTACTCCAAGAGAACAAAATAAGGGCTGTAAAGTCCCTTCATTTCCTGAGGGAAAAATCTAAGATTAAAATGATTATAGTGTTTATGAATAGGGCCAAAATATGTAAGGAAATATAACAAAACCAAGATCAACAGATAGTCATTTGATACCTTATCAACAATGATGGAAATATATTCACAGTATAATATATATAATCAATCAAACTTTAGGACTTTTCCTTTCCTTATTTGTATTAATTATTGACTGTGCTTTAATGAAGACAATTTGTGGCGCTGCTACTCAATGTTAGCCCTGCTGGTGGTAAACAATAATAAAACAAAACAAAATACCCACAGAATGCTATCCCTTAGCTGTGAATTTTGCATATTTCAAAATACAGTTTGGGTGACGGGGATATTTATGGGGTGGTACCACATCCCACAAACTTGAGTAAAGCACCTTATGGATTGAAAATGAGGTAATTTTTCAATTAAAATTTTACAAGTTTATGCAAGAGAACATTCCCATTCTTCTCGAATGGTTTTTTTATCCAAATGTCATGCACAGTACATTTTACTACCTCTTGATTTCTATGAGAAAATGTAGACTCTAATGATTTAAAAAAATGCAAAACATGTCTTTCTATGACTACACTTCTAAATTCTGAAAACCTGCTTAGTCGTCAGTCCTTTGGCCACATTAAAATTCATAGGCCATCCAGGTCTACTACAAAAAATTGGTTTTAGGTGCCTTAAATGGGGTAATCCATTGTTTTCAATCATATTTTCTATTACTTAATATCCTGCTGAAGACTTTTCTACCCCATGTTTATCTTCAAGTATTCTAGGATTTATTTCTAGGTATACCTCAAAACCTTCAAATTAACATTTCCCAAAACCATATACAACATTTCCCAAAACCACATGTAAAATTGAATTCTGTTGAACACATATTTTTTCTACCTCAAATTTAAAAGAGTAGTGAAAAATATATTTTTTTTATTGGCTTCTACTTTAGCTTTGGACACCTAGAACTCTTAAAAAATACTTTTTGGGAACCTGGCTTTTAGATTTCAGTGTTCATGGTAATGCTGAATAAAGAGTTTTTTGAAAAAACTAATCTTAAATATAAATTACTTTCAGATTTATACAGACATTTGTAAAATATTGACTTCCTAACTGTATTATTCTTTCAATACTAGAAAGGTAAAAAACTGGAATTTTGGGTGGCATTTAAAGCCAATAAATTCTAAACAAACTGATCACTATCATCTAATTAAGCAAAAGCCAGGAAAATAAGCAAGGTATTCTCTAGCAGACAGTATTTACAACACACAATGGAGATTTTATGAGCAGCTTAACATAATTTTCTTAGCAATATGGCTTATTTTCTCTTTTGCATTGCCATTAACTATTAGCTTAGTTTACACTAAGCAACAATAAATAAATGATACTTCCTTTTCTTGATTGTTTTCATGTGCTAAATGAAATGATAGTGGAGATGTGACTCTGAATTTAATTTTATATTACATGTCTTTCCCTAGTATTTTCAATTTTAATAAGTGTACATAAGGATTCAAGATTTTAAAACCCAAAAACATGCTAGAACTCCAGTTTGCTGAAGTTCCTCAATATGGCAAAAACAATAGGAAGGTCAAGGACAGTAACTGTCTAAGATTAACTGGACAAACAACGGCCAAATAAAGATTCACAGCCACTTCTTTAGCCTAGCCAGCACAATGTTCTACTAGATACAAGATACCACACTGCAACTTGAAGTGACTTTACCTTGGCAATATATGATATTGTCTAAAACAGAAATGGATTTAAAGCCATTTATTAGATTCATAGAATTAGTCTTTGAAGTTAAGTATCAAAGGAAGTTATGCATTTGTAGGTAATACTAGTACATTTTTTTCCTACTGATAGGGTGTTACATAGTTAAGTATTAAGTGAGAGAGCTAGTTAGAAACAAGTAAGTTTATAATTGGTCCTAAGAAACTACACCAAAAAGATTTTTTGAAAAAATAAAGCTCTTAATTTCTTTAAAATTTCATTTGCTTTGTGATTCTGCATAACTCTTTAGAGAATATTGTTTATAATGTTGCCTATATAATCCAAACTCATTGTTTCCATAGGAAAATAATTATTTTCTCTTTTTGCTATAGATAATGAAATTTAATTTATGCTTAACCAAAAATGGCTATGGATATAAAGGTGATATGTAATTAAAAATTACTTTTAACAATGAAATTAGAACTTACTATCTTTCCTCTAATGAATATAGAATAAAATCACATCTTTAAGCATACCAACATAGAACTTAAAAGCAAAAATTATGTCAGTTTTTCAGTAGATTATCTATAATTTCAGATTTTAAGAAATTAAATTACACTAACAATACAAAATATGTAGTATATTACCATATAAAAGGGCCTGTTAATTCTATGAATTTTTGAATGGGCTTCAATAAGAATGATGCATTTAAATATAAAGAATTCTGTATGTTCGAAATTAAGAAAAATGCCTTACTTGAACTCACCAAGGGTAGCAGTTACATTTTAGTTATATTGAAAAAATTGGTCAAAATTTAATTTCTTTACCCTCAAATAAAGCAAATGTAGGGGCCTCCCTGGCAACGCAAGGGTTAAGATGCAACCTATGAAGCTATCCACAGCCACTGCAGCAGTTCAATTCCCAGCCAGCCAGGGAGCAACCCACATGGTGCAGCAGACCTCTCCTGACTTGCCCGCTGCTTCCCACAGCAGTGCACTCAGGTCAATCTGCCTGTTATGTTTCCCACTCTGTCTCTGGTGAATCCTCTCACCCACCTGTGCCTCTGACCTGTACCCCAGCTCTTGTATGCAGAAATAAATAAATCTTAAAAAAAAAAAAGAAAGCAAATGTAAAATAATCTACTAGAAGTAATGTGGGTGGGTCCATTGCTCATCACTAATAACTAGACTGTTAGGCAATAAAGGGGTTGAAGGGTAGTGAAACTTGAATTATTTCAATGTTAATTAGCTGGTAATATGACTTCTAAAGAACAGGCACAGTACAAAATTGAGAACTGATTTCAAAACATGAATAAAAGGCACTAATCATAAATTTACATTTTTCATCAGTAAAAATTTACATTTTTACAGTTAGTTGGCTGATTTACAGTGAGTTTCAGAATCAATGCTTTAGTATTAGATACGTCCTTGGGTCAAAAACATTCTCTTGGAGTAAAAGATAATCAGTTTTCATATTACCGTAACAGGAAACACCCAATGAGAACCTATAAAATACTTTAAAAAGTCTTACATGAATTTCCTAATTAAACTTTTCCCAATTGTTGATACAAACTCTAGTTAGACGCCAATTTCATCTTTAATACCAACCAACATAAATAATTTCTAATCCAAAACTAAAATTTTTTTAAAAAAGGATTTATAAAATAAAAGTTATTTTAAAAATTAAATAGCAAACTTGAGTCTACACTAATAGTTTGACAAATACAATTAACTATTAAAAACACTTTCAATATAATGCTGATGTGGTACTATAAAAAATAACTATATAATTCAATAGAAGAAAATTGAGCCAGCCAATCTTATTAGATATAGGAAGATAAATTTCATAATAAGAATGTATATAGGAGTTATTAAACATGCTTTTTTTCCCCCCCCAGAACAGGGTTAAGAGAACTATCTTCAGTATTTTGGCTAAACTATATAACCAAGACAGAAATTTCAGCAAGGTGTGCTTTAGGTAAAATGTTTTTTCCTAATTCCAGTCACCACATACACACCACAGAGCATTCATATTCATTCATATCTGCTTTTCTTTCATATCCTTGATTATGGTGTATATGAAAAAGAAAAAAAAATGTATCCTCTACATGGTATAGAACCACTAAGAAAAAGGTTCAAAACAAAACTAATAAACTAGTTCTCAAGGTCAGAAAGTTTTTCTCTGGCCATTTTTCAGTTCTAGGGTGTGTTACTACTAAACAGAAATCAGATAAATGTTATCACATTCAACTAAATTAATTAGACTAAATAAATCAAATATACCTGAAAACTAAGCAAAATTTAAACCAACTTATAATAAAATATCTTAATTAAAATACCAATTTTGAACAGGTATTTTGATACTCTCATGAACACTAAATCCTATTTTTGACCCAAATGAAAAAAATACTGTAAGGATGAAGTACTATTACCTAAGTATGCATCTTATCCCTTTCATTATAATAAACATCACACACTTGAAGTAAAAAGGATCAAAATTATAACACCTCCTTCCCTCTTAAGGTATTCACTATTTATTGTTTCAACTGCCTTGAAAACTTTTTAATGCTATCCAATAAATAAACTTTTGATGGAATATGATCTTTTTTCTTACTTTCTTTAAAATTTATAAATTGTTACTATATTAATTTTGAGTCTCATAGAAGTATTCTAAAAGTTAAGATTAAATTCAGCAATTTCCTATAATTCAAGAAAAGATTTTTTAACATGAGGCATAACTAATCATGGCAATTGTATCAGGACTATTTATTACACTAAAACCTCAAGAGGACTTAAGGGAAGTCATTATGGTTTAAGTAATATACTACTGGTGGTAGAAATGCTATTATAGACACAAGTTCGAATTTTAAGAAATGAAATGAACTGTTTATACATCTGCTTTAGCTACTGCCCAAAGCAGATATGATGTCCCTCATATAAGGAATATTTGAATTTTTTGCTGAAAATAGTTGTTAACAATTGATATTAAAATATATACCAGTGACTTTTAAATTTAGTGCTGGTATGTTTTAATAATGCTTGGTATCTCCACAAAACATGACAAATTTAAAATATCAGACTTACCTAAAATATTCACCATGAAAGCTGAACTTTCAACTACTTTACCTTGATTAATTTTTAGCCAAAATTAATCTCAATTTGTAGGCAGAAAAGTGAATTAAATTCCTTTAGATAAACAGCTACTTAATTTCCATGCTAATAGTAATGCAAAATTATTCCATCACTTTTAATATGTGGGGGAAGTTAACTTATTTAAAGGCAGTTCTCATGATGTTTAATCTTCCATATATATACATATATATCTTCTAGATAGATTTCTTTTTCTTTTCCTATGACAAGTTCTGTCCAAAAGATAAGCGGTTTAGAGAAGGGGGCAAATGTTTTGCGCTGGTTAAGTTCACCAACAGACCTGATGCTTTCCACTATTCCTCTGTCAAACCAGTCATTCATTATCTGGTGTGGAAAGGGGGTGGTCAAGAAATAAAATATATTGGTCTTTAAAGTTATTACAATACTTCAGAAAACAATAAACATATGACAAACATTTCTTACAAGACAGTCACTGAAAAATTAGAATAAGCAGTCAGAAGAATTCTGTTGCTGAAAACATAGTTACACATTACGTTCATCCAACTGAAGATTAGTGCATTAAAAAAAAAGTTAAGAAAACATCTTTTATGTTCCAGTTCAGCTGCACTTGATTCAAGTGTTGCTCATAGAGGTTTGTGTTGTTATAAATTAAACATGCTGCTGCCTTAGCAGCCAAAGGTACTAGGAAAAAATGTTCATGTCACAGAATAAATAGAGCAGTCTCTTTCGAGCAAAAAAGTTATCTCACACCAATCCGGGAGGTCATCCATTCTAGACCTTGGCATAACCTGAAATACAAAATAGAAATATTTATTTATTTAAAAAAATTATTTATTTATGCATACAAGAACTGGGGTACAGGCCAGAGGTGTGGGGGTGAGAGAATACACCAGAGAGTGGGGAGCAGAACAGGCGGATTGACTGAAATACACTGCTGAGGGGAGCATCAGGCGAGGCAGGAAAGGTCTGCTGTGCCATGTAGGTTGCTTCCTCACTGGGGATTGAACTCATGCTTCAGTGACTGTGGAGAGCTTTATAGTGTTGCGTCTTAACCCCTGTGCCATCAGGGAGGTCCAAAATAGAAATATTTATAAAATGAAAAACTTTACACTTACAAATCAAAAGCATCCTTATTTTTTTAAAAAGGTTTATTTTTATTTATTTATGTATATAAGAACTGGGGTATAGGCCAGTGTTAAGGGGTAGGGGGGCAGAGGGGAGGGAGGATTCACCAGAGACAGTGGGGAGCAGAACAGGTGGATTTACTGAAATACACTGCTAAGAGGAGCATTGGGCAAGACAGGAGAGGTCTGCTACGCCATGTGGGTTAGCTTCCTGACTGGGGATCGAACTCGTGTCTCAGTGGCTGCAATAGCTTGATGGTACTGAAACTTTAACCTCTGCGCCACAAGGGAGGTCCAGCATACTTATTATTTTTAAGTCTTAACTAGTTCTACTATAATTACTCATGCATTTAAGTGACAATATTCAGGTAATAGTATACTAAGTGGACTTTCTAAGTGTAAGTAAAAAAAAAAAAATCTACCTATAGTTATTATAAGCTATTTCTAATATGAGAAAAACTAAGAAACTTTAAGATTTGAGGATAGATTCCTGGAAATAAACTGGGTGATATGTGTACAACATACTGGGTTCTCACTGGTCTATTACACCAAACTCAAGTTCTTAGGAAAGGAAGAATACAGTAAATTGGCCGTTGTCTCAAAGTTTTTTTGTGTACAAGTATGATTCTAAGAGGACTCCTGATAATAAAGTATACTATTGTGGAAAACCAGGAGCTTTGGCTTAATTAAGCTCTTGTAGAAAATGTGAAATTTCTTGGAAATGTTCTCTTTTTTAATTCAGTCAATATTACAGTTCCCCCCATCAGTAAATGAGAAATGCCAGGAATGAAAAACTGAAATTTTGGATTGTGAAACAATGCAAAAGTTTGTTATGCCTTATTTGGGTAAAACATTCCCTTTATATTAAAAGTTATAAAAATAGGTCAGTAACTTTGTTATACTACAATTTAACAACAGTAATGACTAAAATTATTTCAATTTTATAAGTCTGAGACACATTATAAAAACAATCTTTAACTAAGAAGAAAAAAGGAATACGATCAAGGAAGAAAACAAGTCTACCTAAAAAAGTTTTAAGAAACAAAGTCATACCTTTCTTTATTAGCACTTACCCTTCTCCTGTTAAAGCACAGCAGGACTGAATGTGCCATGGATGATCCTTAATTGAACTAAGGGTGAGGTATTTAGAGATTTCAGCTGCTGTCATACACCCTTTCATATCCTGTTTATTTGCAAAAATAAGGACTGCAGCCTTCCGTAAATCCTGCAATCAATATGAAATATTCCTAATAAGTGTAATATCATAACTCAAACTAATGAATCAGGAGAGTAAAATATGCCCTTTTGGACAGTTATAATGAAATTCCTCTACTTTAAGATAGTTAAATACAAATAAATAATTAAAAATTTTTACCAAAGTATAAATTATCTCAAAGAACCATGATTTTATGATTTATTCTAACAAAGATTAACTAACATAAGCTAGTTGTTTTTCTATTGTTGGGCCAAAGATCAAGCTAAAAATAATAAAATAAACCTGAATTTTAAGTACACATTTAAAACCATATAAACAATATTCTATTAGACAATTATGTAGCCAAAATTCTACAGTTTCTCCAAAATGTAAAGGAGAGTACTGAGGATGAGTGAGGGCTGGGCAATAATTATTTCTTATCAGTCTTTGTATAACTTAAGCTCATTGATTAATGTTTGCTGCAGCTGTGTTTAAACTATCAGAGCATTAGAAATAACCGTAACATTCATTAGTAGGAGCATAAATCAACTGTGGTGTATACCTACTCATAGTTAAGGAATAACTCAAGATATACATACTAACATGGCTAGCATATATGATGCCATCATATAAAATTTTATGAACATGGAATATAATACTCTGTACAACTAATGGGTACAAAAAATGCACGGTAAATATAAAAGTGTACACAGAAATGATAAATACTACCTTTGGACAGTGGAACTACTTTAGGATTCTTGAAGAGAGAAGGGAAGGAAATCAGATTAGAAAGGTCTCGTAAGATATTAATATCTTATTTTGAATGCTGGGTGCATGAATGTGTTTCATTGACTTTTTGTTATGTGAACTATATAGAATTAGTGACCTCAAATTATTCATTAAAGAGTTTTCAGTTATTTTATAATCTTGGGGATAAAATGCATTTTTATCTTTCTTATCTTAATTTATCAGACTTTCTAAGGCATGAATAACTTTAAACTCTGAAAAATCTTTTCAATAACTATAGTTTACAAATTAGTGTTGGGTGAAAGTTTGAAAAATAGAAATTTTTTTACTTCAAGACTTCCATCAACTTAATATATAACTTTGTTAAACATGAAATAACCAACATGGCATATTAATCTTTGTAAAAAATCAAAACCAGTATATAAATAACTATCGTTTATGTTTGCTTTCAAAATTTACCTCATGAGCCAACATTCTGTATAATTCTTCTTTCGTAATAGCTAGTCGTTCCCTGTCAATGCTATCAACAACAAGAATGATGAACTAGAAGACAATTAAAAAGAAAGAAAATTGAATGGGGTGCTGAAATTTTCTGTAAAGCTACTCTCAAAATGACAGACGTACTTTCCTTACATGGAATCATTACATGGAATCAATTGGTCTATTGCTTTCTCATCATAAAACATTTATATCATACTGAATCAAATCAAGCTATTAAATCCAAATGTTAATACTAAGAAAATTCCTAACTTCAACAAATAAAAACCATGCCCACCCGTCACCATGCCCAAGTTTATTTTCAAAAACAGTGATGTTTGAATACATAATACTTTGTAACTAAGATTTATTTTAAAATGCAGGTTATTTTTAAGGAAAGTCACAGTAATTTAAATAACACTTTAACTAAAACTTAAAAGTACTTTATAATCACTCATTTAAGTAATGAATATTTTATGTTTAAAACAGTCTCTTGCCTATTAGAAAGACACATACAAGCTAGAATGAAAGAAAAATAAATGTACATTAAAAAAATAATAATGAAAGACATTTTTATATAACAGTATCAACAAAAAAGCTCACAAAAATATGCATTTAACTTAGGTGTTAATATGCTAAAAAAGATGCAGGTGAAATTAAAGAGAGGAAACAGAAAGCTGTTTTGAAAAAAAAGTGGGTCTCCCCAAGAAGTGCTGCAGAGGATGCAGAGAAAGAGGGACCCTAATTACAATGTTGGTGCAATTAGGAATAGCCATTTTGGAAAGCAATCTGGATTTACCTTAAAAAACTAAAAATGGAAATGCTTTATGACCCAATAATCCCAATCTTGGGATCGATCATGAAACTATCAACTCAAAAAATCAGAATCTCTATAATGTTCATTGCATTATGTAGAACAGCTAGGACATGGGAACAACCCAAGTACCCACCAGTAGAGGATTAGATTAAGATGTAGTATATTTACACAATGAAATATTACTCAACCACATGGAAAGATGAAATGTTGTCACTGACAGCAAAACAGAAGGATTTTGAGGGAATTTTGTGTAGCAAAGACAGTCAAAATGACAAAGATATATATTGGATGTTTACATAGTGGACAATTCACCAAAATAAGAAATACTTATAAAAATGATCAGACACTAATAAACAAAGTAAGGTTCCTGATACTAAGGAGGAGGAGAGGCAAAGGATCAAAGTGGTATAAAGGAGAGTGTTGAAGGGGCAAAAAAAAAAGTCTCACATGTTAAAAATATAAAGCATCTATAATAAGAAAAATAAGAAATATAATGAGAAAGGGACCCTAAAGCCCAATATCTGATGCAGAAGAAAAAGTTAAGAAATGGCACACATGGCATTTAGAATGAACAAAATATGGTAAAATAACTCTCAGTTAATGAGAGGAAGGTGTCAGGAATTATTTAACAACTATAACTCATTGTATTATAATGGAGACATTTCCGATTTTGGATGACACCTGTCATAGCATCGACGGTGAACAAGATGACATGGGTGAAATAAGCAATCAGGGCAACATCACAGATAAGATCCCTCTGAGGAATTGAAGATTGCAAATGCGATGTGCTACACTGGTATGCTGTAAGACAAGTTCTTTGTAATTTTTTAAAATTACAAGTAATTTTGAAATACTTACAGAAATAGTTTATTAAAAAGCACATTCATGCTAATAGCATTAATGTGGAACCAGGATAAGACTTCTAGAGTTTCAGTAATTTCAGCAACCATCCCTCTGTAGTGCTATAACATACATAGATCATCTAGGACCAACTCATCTATTCATCAGGTAACTACTATTTTCACATTTGTAGTTAATTGTGAATTCTGAAAAAAAGTACCAACACCTAAAATGCTATTCTTCCCTCACTAATATATTTTAGTTTCATAAATTTATTTTACTGTAGAAATATTACACTAACCTATGACCTTAACATTTACTTACCGAACTATCCTCCCCGTGAAATAAAAAAAAAAAACTAAGTGTTGCCTCAAATACTGAATATCTGATATGCCATATTGGTTTGACCAGTCATATACTACACTAGAAAACATACACATATATACATTTGCTATTATAATAGAAGTATGTATTTTTTTTGTGTGTGTTGTTGAGCATTGTGGTTCTCTTTGGAATGGTTCTCCTTGGCCTTTCTCCAGGTATCAGAAGACTTCACTGGCTGGAGGAATGTCTGTTTCAGATCATTGAAGATCCGATCGGCTAAATTCAGTTTATCTCTCTAAGGACAGTGTCACTGTTTCACCCCACTTGTCACCTAGTCTGTCACTTAGTTTAGAAGGGCTCTGCCCAGCTATTTGTTTAAAAGGGCAACTTACACACAAAAAATTCCTTGCATAATACCCCCACCTGTTCCATTACCCATCCTCAAAAACAACAGCAAAATAACCAGTTTTTATGAGGTTTCACTTTAGAAAAATAATTGGTTAGGTGTTCCTCTTTAAAGAAAAATTATGGATGCAATGTGCACTAGTACTCTCAAAGATGAACCTGTTAATTGCACTCTTTGGTTTTAAAATAATCTGCCTGTAAGTTGTGAAACCTTGGGGAAAGCTATATAATTTATGCTAGGGTTCTGATTTCTCCCACAATGAAGATATTAAAATATTACTGTGAGGGCGAATGGAGAGGGTCTATGCAAAAACAACCAACCAACTAATAACAGCCCCTAGTATTTTTCTTTCTTCTTGCCTTTTTTATTTGGAATCTTTAAATTCTTACAAAAAGGAACTTATTAAAAGGTAACTGTCTATATGCGTATGTGTAGCCGATTTGTGGGCTTGTGTTTTGGTTCTTTTATTAAGATTCATAAATAATTTTAGTATACCTCTGTGTTTGAGTAATACGTGTTCCAGGATGACCGCAGTGACTCTTGACCACCAATATCCCACATGAGAAAATGAGTGTTCTTTACAACTATTTCTTCAACATTGCTTCCAATGGTTGGAGATGTATGAACCACTTCATTCATTAAGCTGTTGAAATACAGACACGGTAACACTCATAAATCTTGAGAACCTGAAGCAAGTTCTCTCTCTGTATTTTTAACTACATCAACCTTCTTTGTTTGCACCAATATTGGTAATCATTAGCATCAAAAATAGGACCTTTGAGAACAATGGTGCAAAAAAAATCTAGACAAAGAACAATTTCTAAAAGAAGACTCCTTTTTCATTTAATGGAATAAAATGGTTGATCTTGAAAGAAGAGAATGGTGTTGTGCAAGTTTACATTGTTGTGTCCCAAAGAGCCACACCCCATTGACAGAGCAGAACCCATAGCCCATCCTGAAAGAGCAAGTTCCTAGGTGTCTGTGACATCAGTACTTGCAAAATAGCAGCAATTGAATAGTGGGCTACCTATAATTTGAATAGTGTCTATGTAAGAGAATTGAAACTTGGTTCAGTCATAAAAATTAGTTCAGGCCTATTAACCTAAGCTACAGTCTTAAAAAGCGAAAGCTAAGGGCAAATGGATATTTTAATTAAAAGTATAATTAAAAAGTGAAATTAAATATAAATATATTTAGAACAGATGCTTATACCACATGCATAATCATAATTTTGGTTAAGTTATATTAAACTCTTGGGTTTTATATTGAAGTTATGCTCTAATTATTTCAACAATGATGATGAGTTTTTGAAATGTTTATATTTGATGTTAAAGGCAAAGTCACATTAAAATACCTAGTGGCCAATGACTGAAGGTTTTAAATAAAAATAATTACTTACTCAACTCTAAAATAACAAGCCATAAGTTAGTATGTTTTTAGCAAAGGAGTTGAAGAATAAATTAAGCATTGCTTAAGTAAAATATTTCTGGAGAACTGTCAGTTGATATATTTAAGACGAGGTGGGAAGACTTAGGAGCCACACAATGGTGCACTCTATTTTATAATCACTTGTTAAAACACTTGGGACATAGATCCATTTTCACTGCCTAACAAGAACTATTTCCTTGGCAGTGAAAGGATAATGGGAGGTTCTTTGAAAAGTGAATTAATGGGCTGCAAGATTTCCTTAAAGGATTAATGTATTTCTCTGATAGTCTTAAACTTCTCGCTGTTGCAAGCTGCTAAGGCAGTATTTTCACGGGTGAGCTTTATTTCTTTTGACTTGACAAGTCTTGCTATGTTAAACAATTCCAGAGCTATTAGAAGAGTAGAGATAGTTTCCTAGAGATAACAATCTATTCACATGAACCTCAGAGTGAATGAACTGAGTGAAATGTACTTCTCATCTCACTCCAACACTACACACTACATGCTTGCTTTATTTTAATTTAACATTCTTTCCTTCAAGGCCAGAAAAAAGTTTGAAGACTTTAGCAAACATACAGCAGTTTATTTTATTCACTTTTTAAATAAATTTTATGTATGGTAAAATATATCAATAAAACCGCATGCTTTACATTTTTCCATTACATTATAATGGCATCTCATTAATTATACAAAATTGGTTCCAATAACAAAAAAAAAGAAAATTGTTTAAATTACTTACAATTGATAAAGAATTGTGGTTTTCCCAGCATTATCCAGTCCCACTATAATTACTTTGTGTTCTACAAAAAGAAAGCAAACCATATACATTTAACACTGCTGCATATTAAAAGTGCATGCTCTCAACATGTGGATTATTAGTTACCTAATAATAAGATTTCACTGGATATTTATTATTAGATTGTTAAAATATAGAACAAAAGAGAGCTTTATGTTATCAGGGCTTCCTGCTTTAAGTGGGGCAATCTTTTATATTCTCTACCTATTTCACATTATTTTATAATGTGATATGGGTAAGAGGGAAACATTAGAGAACTTGGTCTCTTATACAGAGATTGGGTGGGCAAATCCAAACACCCATTTGACAAGACATTATGATCAAATATTTAAATTAAAAAAAAAGTGTTTTACACTTGCCATTTCTACTAATCAAATTAGCTTTCTATCAAGTTGTTTTAATACTTGGATATATCCCATCTACATGTACCAAGATTTTTTTTTTCCCTTTCACTTAAAAATTCAATTTCAAACATAGAAGTAAAGAGCTCTCCTTATCACTTATAACACACAGACCCTCAGTTTTTTGTACTTTCATTAATTTACAGATAAACAATTATTTTTAGTCCTTAGTCCTTTTACAATCTGGATTTTTTTTTAAAGATTTATTTATTTGTACAAGACTTGGGGTACAGGCCAGAGACACAGGAGGGTGAGAGGATTCACCAGAGACAGAGTTGGGAGCAGAACAGGCAGAAGGACCAAAAACACTGCTGAGGGGAGCAGCAGGCAAGACAGGAGAGGTCTGCTGCACCATGTGGGTATCTCCCTGGCCTGCTGGGAATTGAACCCACACTGCAGCGGACAGCTTCACAGAGCTGTGCTCAACCCACTGCGCCACCAGGGAGGCCCTACAATCTGGATTTTACAACCTTTTTGAACAAGTACTGGTCTTTATACAAGAATAACCTCTCCAGTACCCTCTTTCTGGTGCCATGCATGAAATAGTCACTTGTTTCATAAGTAGTTAGTTCTTAAGGACCATCTAATCAGTGTGTTAAGGGTTCTGAAACCTCCTATGAACATGGAAGAGAAACACTCCAGATAACCATATTTTGTAGATTTTAACCTACATAAAATATATTAAAGATTCCTCTTCAGGGTGGAATGCTTAAGTTTCTACAAGTGAATGTCAACAGGTTATGTGAGGAAGTTCTGCCTCCCTGGTGGCCCAAGGGGTTAAGACGCAACCTATGAAGCCAACCACAGCCTCTGCAGCATGAGTTCGATCCCCGGCCAGGGAGCAACCCACATGGCTCAGCAGACCTCTCACCCGCTGACTCCCCTCACTCCTGACTCACCCGCTGCTCCCCTCAGCAGTGAATTTCAGTCAATCTGCCTGTTCTGTTCCCCACTCTGTCTCTGGTAAATCCTCTCACCCCCTGCACCTCTGGCCTGTACCCCCATTCTTGTATGCATAAATAAATATTAAAAAAAAAAACAGGTTATGTAGGTTATGTAAGGAAGTTGCCTTAGGCACAACATGATAAAGTGATTTGTTGTCAATGATTTAAATACATTTTGTATCAGAACACTGCAACCTCTGATGAAATGTCAAAGTTCTGGTTACACAGAGTCAAATATCAGGTCATAACCCTAAAGTGTTAACATTGCATCAGTCAAAACATGGCCATAATTCACAGATAAATTCTAGATGACATACTCTCTTTTTATCTTCTGACTTGAATGCTGTAGGTGCTGTTGTTAACATTGCAGGACAAATGACATAGTCTTCTGGAAGGGCTATTTTCACTATGGCAGAAGCTGCTTTGTAAAAAACAAAACATGTTTTCCTACCGTAACTCACAATTGTCCTTTTTTGACTTTCAGATCATATTTCCTAATTTCTAATGGAGCCAATCTTGAAGTGTTGCCCTGTATTTTTCCCTTACAGCAGGCAGTCACTAGCCTAAAGTTAAATTACAATTTGGTATAGATAATCGTGTCGAAAAAGGGAACAGAGGGATGGTATCAGATGGTTCACTGTTGAGGCAGCTCAAGTGAACAATAAGGGTATTTTCAGTCATCTTCATGCTTTGTATTATCATGATAATCATATTATTATGATGATCACATTAGTGAAGGTCTATAAGAATACTAATAAATAATGTATCATTATGAAAGGTTGGTGAGTTTGAATAAAGTCTGAACTAAGTCAGGGGTGACAAACCCTGAAGGTGGACAGAGTATGAATTTCACTAAAGTTACAAAATGTTTCAAATGGCTGATTAACTTAAAAGTCTTTTTCAGATCCCTGTTTGAAAAATTTACAGATAAACTATTATTTGTTTGAACAGGTATTGATAGGGAACTCTAGCAATTAATACAAAAACACACATTTTCAAATCCCTCTTATGATAAAAGTACGTACATCTATTTTTTAAGCAAGCTAAGGCCTATCTCCTGATGTTAAAATTATCAACAATTTTAATTGCTGAACAGCTAAGTGCCACTTAAATGCATCAAATAACCAGGGGTTTATTTTAAATCCTTTCTTTGAAAAATCTCTCTTACTTATACAACAGTGAAATCAAGTGCAAAGGGCATTTATTAAAAAAAAGTACATAATAAAAGCTGTTTGTACACTGTTGCATAATTAATTTTTCCTTCAAATGCTTCTTTTGTACTTGGTTACTACTGTAGTATGTCAATGACCAAATGCCAGCTAGTGATGTTTTTACCTATTCAAGGAACAATGAGAAAAATATAGACAGTATGTCTTGTTATTGTAAGCGGAAACTGGAATGAATGTGTTGCTTTAAATAGCAACAAGTGGTATCCAGATTTTCCGATTAATACAAACCAAAAGCATAACTACATGCAGTAGTATTAGATATTGCTTGATGTTAAAATGGAGAACTTCATCCTTAAGAAGCATGACTTAGGGCATCTGTTCTGTATTGTCTTTTTGGCTGGACATACTCAACAGGCCATATCCAGATCTTATGTATCTAAACTATATTAACTGTCAGAGTGATTTCTTATGAAAGTAGCCTTGAAAATTAATTTCCTTAGAATTTTTTTTGTTCACCGCAGATACGATAAGATACTTATAAATTTGTACTTCTTGTATTACCTGGCAATAATTTTTATTGTTTACCTAACAGGTTAAAAAAACTTTCAAAATATGGGTCAGGTCAGTCTTAAAGTTAGAAAGGATTTATCCTAAATGTCAACTTTTTAATTGCTGCCACATCAAATGTGCATTATACATTTAGCACTGTTTTTATTTACAGAGCAGAGAATAGAGATTTCCATTTCAGTAGATTAAAATGTAAGGAGAAAATTTTACAATTACATACTTTTACAATTTCAACTGATTTTCAACATGCATATGTGGAGCTATATATTCTTTTTTAAAATTTTTTTGGGGATTCATTCATTCATTCATTCATTCATTCATTTATTTATACAAGCACTGGGTACAGTTGGAAGCGCAGGAGGGTAAGAGAATTCACTAGAGCCACAGCGGGGAACAGAACAGGCAGACTGACAAAATTGACTGCTGAGAGGAGCAGCGGGCGCGGCAGGGGAGGTCTGTCTTCCTTGCGGGACCCTCCCTCTCCAGCAGCTGGGATTGTCGAACCAGTGCTGCTGAGGTTGCAGGCAGCTTCGCAGCCCAGCGCTCAACCGCTGTGCCACCAGGGGAGGCCCTGGAGCTATATATTCTCAATTTCTAACTCCTCAAGCAACTCTCCATGAAAATAAAATATTTAGTTATATACTGAAACACAGTTTTTAGCTAACCTCTTTTTTTTTCCTCAGCTATGCTTAAAAAGGACAAATTATAAAATGGATAACACTAAATTCACTATTTAGAATGGAATTTATTTTAAAAAATTACCCTCTTGTTTTCCAGTAGCATTATTAAAATAAGTATGTTGTCACAAAGCATAAATTGTCCATGTTAAGGACAGTTGCATATGCTGAAATCAATTTTCAAAAGAAAATAAGAGTACTTGCTTATAGGCAAATATGTAAAATATGACTAACAAGAAAAATAGTAAGAGGAACGTCATAAAAATAAGTGGAAGAAAAAAAATCAAATTTCTTTTCTCAATTTAATTAACACAAGGAAACATACTTCTATTACTTTTACTTGTCTAAAGTTTGTTTAATGGCCCACTAACAGGATGCCTCCCAAGCTCTGACAAGATTGAGTTTACAGTCTTAATAATGATAAATGAGAGCTTATTAGAAACTGAAAACAAAAACATCCTTCTAGTAAACAAGGAGATTAAACACAGATAAAGCAAAATGATCAGAGTCTAAACTCTACAATCACAGAATAAGGTGTCTATAATTCTCCCTCAACTCTGACTGCAGAGTTTGATCAGGAAACGATATTGAAATCCTTCCTTCCCCAACCTTCTCTCTCACACTCTATTCACTGATTAAAAAATCTGAGTACACTAAAGTCTGAAGTATAAAAGTAATGGTAAGACATCAACAAAGAAATACTGAAGCTGATCTAACGTAGCTAGTTCTCTAGAGGATTCAAATACCGCTCAGGTAAAAGTTAGGAACCGAAAGGCAAATGTTCATCTGCCCAATGTAATCCAGTTTTCAACTTTTCAACTTGTTGGATTATGATCATAGTCAAGAAATATATTTTACCTCAGCAACTAGGACACACATAACTGACATAGACGTTTCACAAGACAGTAAGTCTGTTAGCTTTTGATAGCTTCTATTTTAGAATGTTCATTATTTTTGAAAATACTGGCTTCTCATATTAAACTAACTTTATAACTTAGTTATAGCTGTTTTTAGAGTTTAGACTCTTTGATCATCCTGCTTTATCTGTATTTAATCTCCTTGTTTACTAGAAGGATTTTTGTTTTTGTTTCCAGTAAGATATTATTATTATCTTGTTATGACTTATAACCTACTTATAGCTTGTTTTTAAACAAATTGCCTGGTAAGCAAGTTGATGAGGCACAATGCTCATAGCCAAGTTGGAGGTTTCTGGACTCCCAACTCTATTTCCACACCACCCCCCTTG